TCTTTAGTGTGTAGCCTTTTTATAAGTTTAGGTAATTGAAAATTGATTGAAAATCATGTCTATATCATGGGTTGCCATCCCCCGTAGTGTTACATAAGTATATTCAAAAAAGTTTAGAGGAGGTTACTCCCGCTTTATTTAAAACGAACGTAGGCGCCATAGTGCTCACGCATGGCAGTCGGATAAAAGGTGTAGGAATGCATAAAAGACAAACACACAAACACATACACACTTTGATTTTTATTGATGTACAAATATAGCCTCTAGTTTTCTCTCTCTCTCTCCCTCCCTCCCTCCCTCTCTGTATATATATATATATATATATATATATATATATATATATATATATATATATATATATATACATATATATATATACATATAATATATATATATATATATATATATATATATATATATATATATATATATATATATATATACATATATATATATATATACATATATATATATATATATATATATATATATATATATATATATATATATATATATATATATATATATATATATATATATATATATATGTATATATATATATATGTATATATATATATATATATATATATATATATATATATATATATATATATATATATATATATATATGTTGTATTAATTCAAAGGCGTTTATACCTATTCGGCGCCCATAGTGATTTTTTTGTCTTCTGTCACCCCCCCCCCCCCCCTAAATGGTGTCACCCGGTGCGCTCCGCACCCCTCGTCCCCGCCTCGCTCGTGACTCCTCTGGCTTAGGTTACCCCAAAAAATGCAGAGGAGAAAAATTACGTCTAAATTTGGCAACTTTTACATTGAACCCAAGCCTATAAGTTCCCCCCCCCCCCCCCCCCAGGAATGAAGATTACTAAGTTTTCATAGGAAATGAACGAGATTTATTTTCCATTTTATTTTTTCTCAAGTTTATTAATTAACTTAAAAATTATTGTATGAGTAGTAGGTTTTTATTCGTTCTGATCTACAAATTCATTAACAACACATATACATAATAGTGTACACAATCAACAAAAATTTTTATACTGGAAACAAATATTTAAAAAAATATATTATTTAAAAGAGAGTTATTTCTAAAAATAAAATATTCGATTAACATAATTTTAGTGAAAAGAACAATAGGCTATGTCATGGCGATTAACATTAGATCTGCTCTCTTCCAACCTAATCAATATGGTCCAGCTCTGGGGGCTGCTTAAGAGTCTTGTCGGTTGATATGAGAAATCAATTTTAAAAAATATTTTTAAATGTAATTGATTTTCATTTATTCCTTAAACGAAAATTTAAATTAATAAAAAAAAGCACATCAAATAAAAGGGGAGAGTTTTAAAAGTTTAAATAAAAAGTAGAATATAAAGATCGGCAATTTTGCAGTAGAAATTAGGTTTTGAAATTAAAATTGGAATACATTAATAATCTGAGTCACTGTTGTAGTATTCATGTGAGGAATATTCATCTTGATAGGCATGGTAGACTATTTGACGTCGATCAAAGCCGTTGTTTAACAAGTGTATCATTGCTAACCGCTCCAGCATAGAGATATCTTGGACCTTTGGGTCAGCTGCCAATTCGGCCTGCTCTGCGTGCTTAAACACCAGCTTGTCCTTAAACGTATTTGGGATGGGTAGTCGTTGTACCCGTTCTTTTCTCCCAGCATCAGCACCTACAGCTGACGACACAGCAACAAAACTGAGTTTCTGTAGAGACAAGGGCTGGGATGAATACTCGTCCAAAAACTCCAAACATTCACTGTACTTGTTAGATTCTAGCGATTTCCTTAATTGTTCATTGTAGGCTAGTCTTGAAATGTCATAATGGGTTAAAAACCAAATCTCATTTAAAAACCTAGCAACGTTGATGGAACCACAGCATAGAGAAGCACATAACGGTGAACCTTTCGATAAATCACCAAAACCAACGCAGGCTAGATCAACATCTTTTGGCCCTACGCCAAGGGATATAATTTGTTTTAAACAACCATTTTCCTCATTCAAAATTAATTGATGAATAACATCAGGACTTACACATGAGCTGTCAGCTCCATTTTCTATTAAGTAAAGCATACTTTCTGTATCGAGCCCTAGACTGAGACCTTTGCTAATAAGTGCAGATAGAGCAGTTTCGTTTTTCTTTTCATTAACTAAATTGACATCAGCACTTGCCTCACATAATACTTTCATTGTTTCAACGTGTTGTTGTTTGGCTGCTAACATCAGAGGTGTGTAGCCTTCATTGTTTTGATGGTTGACACTAGCTCCTGCTTTTATTAGAAGTCTCACAACTTCAAACGGATCTTGAAATCTTGAAGAACATACATAAAGCAATGATGTGTCCCCATTGTTATCAACATCATTCACATTCGCTTTATTTTCTAACATAAACTTAATCATTTGCGTACACGGTCTTAACAACAAATTAAATAAAGGTGTCTGTCCAGTGTTATTTTTTAAATTGATATCTGCCTTAAACTCTAAAAGGACTTTCGCATTAGCAATAGATTCTAAATTTGCAGCAAAATATAAAGCGCTTTCACCATTGTTATTTTTTTGGTTGACATTTGCCCCAGCTTGAAGAAGAGCCCGTAAAACTTTTTCCATATCTGATTTTTGGGAAGCATCCATTAATGGAGTGTTACCTAATTTGTCTTCGACATTCACATTGGCTCCATTTTGAAGGAGGACGTTTACTCTTTCTAGCAGGTTATCTATAGTACATCCCCTTTCACAGTCGTCTAGTGTAAAGGTTAGAGCTGAATATGAATTCCCGTATTTTTCAACAATGACATTCACGTCGGCACCTAATTCGATCAACAATTCCATAACATTGGGATCTTTAGTTGACATTAAAGGTGATTTATAGTAATGGCTTGCATTAACATTGGCACCTTCTTGCACTAGTAGTCTTATCATCTCCGTATACCCCTTTTCTGATGCAATGTTTAATAATTGGGTTCCTATTTGCCTTATCTGAGAACTAACATCGGACTTGAATTGTTCATTTAAAAACACAAATGATTCAATCTTATTACCACTGACAACAGAAGTCAATGCCGCAGAAACGTTTATTTTAGCACCACGATGTATCAGGAATTTCGCACAATCTATTTGCTCATGCTTAATCGCAGACTGAAGTGCTGGACACGAGTCTTGGCTGATCTTTGCTCCACGGTCAAGTAACAATTCTATAATGTCACATCTACCAACCTCAGCAGCTACGACCAAGGGACTGTTATAGCTATAGTAATAATTTTGTTTGTTTACATCCGCACCATGACGACAAAGCATTTCTACCAAATCATAGCTGCCTATTCTTATGCTTAAATTTAATACACATTCTGAACGATTGTAACAGTGATCAGATTTTAGCGGAGCTCCAGCCTTAAGAAGAATCTGAACTATATCCAAATCGTCTTCTGTTATTACTTGTTTACTCTCTAGTATTGAATTTAAAAATCCAAAAACAATATTGTTATCTTCTCCATAGCTATCACTGAAGACAAAGATACGACAAGCTAGTAAAAGCTTGATAATGTATTTGTCTTTCATTGAAACTGCATTTTGTAAAGTTGTTTTCCTATTATGTGTCCGTCTGTCCATATAAGATAGTAAGGATTTAAATCCTAAACTTTCAGCTAGTTGACAAGCACTATTTGACACAGAAGCTTTTACATCAGTTTGCTTTTTTATTAAAATGTTGATCAAAGGCAAGTTCAAAACACCAATGGCTTTCATCAAAGCATTACAGCCGTTTTTATTTTTATGGTCCATTTTTAAATCGTGTTTGTCATTGTCAAGAAGTCTCCTAACCAGCTCAGAAGACCCGGATGTTTGAATAGAAAGTAAAAGTGCTGTGTCACCGTCTTTATTGTAACTGTTGATATCAGCGCCTTTATCAACCAGTAACAGAGCTATGTCAGTGAAACCTTTCTCAGCACATATCAAAAGTGGTGTGTTGCCATCATCGTCTCTCGTCTCTATATTAGCACCATGAAATATCAGAATCTGAACCAAAAACTCTCTACCATACCTACAAGACAAAAGCAGACCTTGGTCCAAACTTTCTTGGTTAACTTTGTTCTCTGTGTGTATCAGTTGATTAAAACATTCAAGCATTTCTTGAGGTGAGCCAGATTGAGCAGCTTGATCTATCATGTGTAATATATCACGTTCTGCAATAGGAGTATTTACACTACTCTGTTTTGTTCCATCTCTAGTTAACGTAGGGCTTGAATGTGATGTAGAATTTAACCCAAGCGATGTGCTGCTTGTCTGACCACCTGATGACACCTGTCGTCTGTCATAGGTCTGGCATAATGTTGTATTTGATTGATTTCCATTTTTCGGCCTACTTCTGGCTTTCTTTCTTGGCATTTTGTGACCAGATTACCTGAAGAGTATGGCCCAATTAGAAAAAAAAAATGTAGAACAGTCGTTTTAAAATGTTGACTTTTATATACGCATATATATATATATATATATATATATATATATATATATATATATATATATATATATATATATATATATATATATATATATATATATATATATATATATACATATATATATATATATATATATATATATATATATATATATATATATATGTTTATGTGTGTGTTTATATATATATATATATATATATATATATATATATATATATATATATATACATATATATATATATATATATATATATATAGAGAGAGAGAGAGAGAGAGAGACATTCATGCGTGTAAATATTTTAAACGTTAATTCAATTAATGAATTTGTTGAGAAATATAGTCTGCAACCTTCTTTTATAACATCAATACAGTTCGTCTTAGATTATTTTTCGGTGTGTGAAGTCTAATTATATGAGTGTCTGCGTAACTACAATTTACATTTTTACTTTCTCGTATATACGAAGTATAGAGAAAGTCTTGTAATCGTGCAAAAAAAAAAAATCGAGATTTTTACAAATCTCGACGTTTCACACCTCACTGATACGGAAAAACATAATTTTGCAATCTTGTCCGTATGTCTGTGTGTCTGTCTGTGTGTCTGTGTGTCTGTGTGTCTGTCTGTCCGTGTGTAAACACGATAACTTGAGAACCGTTACAGCTAGGTTGATGAAATTTCATATATAAGTATTTTATCAAAATCGTAGATCCGTATCAACTTTTGAGCGATTTCCGATAACCGGAAGTGGTACTTTTCCTACTTTGAATTTTTCAAAAGCCTATAACTTGAGTACTATTTCAGATAGAAAAATGAAATTTCATATGTAAGTAAAAGATCTAATTCTCTACCTTCTATCAAATTTTGAGTCATTTCCGTTGACTGGAAGTAGTACTTTACGCTACTTCCGATTTCTCAAAAAACTAATGTAAATTTTAAAAGTAATAATAATATTGCGCACCATTATGCGCTTTTTTATTTGGCGTTCACTTGGTGTGCAATTAATTTGTCTACGACATTTTATTCTATTTTTAAAACTTTAAGTATTTAAAATGGATTAAAAATCATGTCTATAGCCCGAGTTCCCATACCCTGTTATTTTATATAAGAATATTCGAGAAAGTTTAGGGGAGATCACTCCCGGTTTATTTTACTTTCTCGTATATACGTAGTATAGAGAAAGTATTGTAATCGTGCAAAAAAAAATCAAGATTTTTACAAATCTCGACGTTTTACACCTCACTGATTCGGAAAAACATAATTTTGCAATCTTGTCCGTATGTCTGTGTGTGTGTGTGTGTGTGTGTGTGTGTGTGTGTGTCTGTGTGTCCGTGTGTAAACACGATAACTTGAGTACCGTTACAGCTAGGTTGATGAAATTTCATATATAAGTATTATATCAAAATCGTAGATCCGTATCAACTTTTGAGCGATTTCCGACAACCGGAAGTGGTACTTTTTCTACTTTGAATTTTTCAAAAGCCTATAACTAGAGTACTATTTCAGATAGATAAATGAAATTTCACATGTAAGTAAAAGATCTAATTCTCTACCTTCTGTTAAATTTTGAGTAATTTCCGTTGACTGGAAGTAGTAATTTACGCTACTTCCGATTTCTCAAAAAACTAATGTAAATTTTAAAAGTACTAATAATGCGCACTATTATGCGCTTTTTTGTTTCGCGTTCACTTGGTGTGCAATTAATTTGTCTACGAGATTTTATTCTATTTTTAAAACTTTAAGTATTTAAAATGGATTAAAAATCATGTCTATAGCCTGAGTTCCCATCCCCTGTTATTTTATACGAGCTGACCCGCGGCGTATCATACGCCGCTATTTAGTTGTTTTATTTTCTACTTTTCAGTAATTCATAATTTGTGAATTCGACAGTACCAAAGCTGCCACTGAAAATATTTGCTTTACAATACTAACCCCCCCCCCCCTTTCCCCTAACCCCGACCCCCGACCCTTCCCCCCCCCCTCTCCCACCGTGAAAGCAGCCTCCTCTTAGTTACCTCCTTGAAGTTTAAAATCGTTTCAAACTAAAGTATCTGCCCCTAATAGCCGTCACTAAACCCTGCGCCACGATATGTAAACATTTAGTTTGACTACAACTCACCAAACCATGTGGGGGTGGGGTGGGGGTGGAAGTGATAGTGATATAGAGAAAGAGAGGGGACTGTAAGGCGCGCTTTGCAGCTTGTTTTCTGACGGCTCGCAGAGGAGAATTAGATAAGAACGAGCCGGCCCGCGGCATAACATACGCCGCTATTTAGTTGTTTCTAATTTTCAATAATTCGTAATTTGTGAATTCGACAGTACCAACGCTGACACTGAAAATATTTCTTTAAAACACTATAAGTAGCTCGTTAAGGACCATAACCCCCCCCCCCCCCCTTCCTTCCCCCTCCTCCCCCCCCTACGTTTAAAATCGTTGGCTCTGCTTGTAAACATTTAGAGTGAACACAGCTCACTAAAACCATGTAGGGGTGGGGAGGTAGGGAGAGCGTTTGCAGCTTGTTTTTTAACGGCTCGAAGAAGAGAATTATATATATATATATTCGAGAAAGTTTAGGGGAGATCACTCCCGGTTTATTTATGTATAGTTCTCTAATTGGGTAAAACGAAACAGATAATTGATTTAATTCAAGTACCTATATATATTTTTTTCAGTTCTTAAACAATATTTTAACACCAATATATTATTATTATCCGTATGATTTTATTGAATTCTAAACTTAGTCTTCTTCTTCTTAATTTTTAGTGTTGGAATGCATTCCCCTCCAACACAATTAAGGATACGTGTCAACTGGTTATGCGCCATTGAGGCCATTGACTGCTTTTCTTTTTGGATTTGCTTCCATAGCCTTAGTCCATTCAAGAACAAACTACAAGGCAGCAGTTGTTTCATTTTGGAGTTAGTAATATTACCGGATTTTACTATGATAATGAAGCACTAAAAATGATACAATATTTTAGTTTATTTATCTTTTCACTAATTATTTTAACTCAGTGGCGTAGCGAGGTCGGGTGTCACCGTTGCGGCACTTAATGGTGTCACCCCCCAGAGGCATAGCGACCCTTCCCGGGGACAAACTTTCAAATTTTCGATTTGCACCCCCCCCCTCAAACTTTCGATTTGCACCCCCCCCCCTCAAGTTTTCGATTTGCACCCCCCCCCCCCTGTCGAATTTTCGATTTGCACCCCCCCTCAAGTTTTTCTTTATATATTTTCCTATTTTTTGCCTTGGTGTCACCCCCCTAAATGGTGTCACCCGGTGCGGTCCGCACCCCCCGCCCCCCCTCGCTACGCCCGTTTTAACTAAACCCTTATCGTAAAATTACTTTACGAAACCATCAATTATCTTGTATAGTAGTTTTAGTTTTACCCAATTCTACATTCCACTGGAGAGTGGTTTCCTTTTAGATCTAGATCTAGAATCTAGATCTATATCAAGTAATAGTTAATGGAATGTACTAACATTTACTACACAAGTAACAATTACGTTTTTGTTTTTCAATATGGCTCACCTGTAAATTGTTTATAATGAATTAGTTTAAAAAGTTGAAAAGTTAAAAAGTTGAATATTTTTATAAGAAATCAGTAACAGACTCAGGTATTTACCAGGTACAAATTACACAGCAACACAGTGTTCACTCCATGGAGATAACGTCAGCAGATTACACGGTAAAATCACCCTACGTCATTTTCCAAGAAACCCAAACCGAAACTGCTGTAAACTTACTGTGATAGAGGCTACTCCTACAGTGAAAGATGTTTTGTTTGTTTCTAAATATAAACTTTATGATATTAGTTATGATTAGTTGATACATAAAGAATGTTTGACCTGAAATATTAAAATGTAATTTCGGGAATTCCCAAGGTTCTAGTTTGAATTTACGTCCTATATTGGACGTTACTTTCAATAATGTGATCACAAGTGCATGTTGATTACACTGTGTGGCGACAACATTTTACAATGTCCAGTTTGAAACCTGATTCTCCTCTATTATGTTACATTTTCAAAGACATTTCTGCTAAAATTGGAATAAAATATTTCAGTGGGCTATAGGGCTGGTAAGTAAGTTACAAACCAGTTCTCCGGCTCAATAAAACCTGCATGAGCCATATAACTGGTTGGTGACCTACTTACCAGCCCTATAACTAGTGTTTACGTGCCTCAGTTCATCTTCTAAAAATAAGTCATTTAAAATAATAATTGAATAGTAAAATAGGGGACGTAAGCTGAAGTTTTTTTTTTCTGTTTTTTAACCGTCATGCATTATGTAAATATGGGTCTTTTATTTATACTGTGTAGGATTCGAGCTATGTATAGTAATGTATACTATTAATATTACTGCCCTTTCCAGTGGATATTTATACACGCTGATTTTATGTTTAACATATAGATTTAGGTGGTTCTAAAAGATAGCTGATGTCGCTAAACGCCCCTTTTTCTCTTACCCACGAAAAAGATGGCATATATTTAATTAAAGGTATTTACCTAAAAAATATTACTACGATTTTCAGATATTTGTAATTTTAGTTTTTACGATATTTAAAATAGAGTGCTCAAATCTTTTTGTTCCTTAATTAAAGTGTGTTTAAAGAGCTATTGGCTATAATACAATTATATCACTGAACGCACAGATAAGAGTGGTAGGCCTACCTTTAACACTCGTACTTTGGACCAACTACTTAAAAATGTGGAAGATGTTGAAATAAAATTGAAAATCGTTTTTAGAATTTAAACAAGATTTAATATTGTGGAGCCAATCTGGCGAAAAAGGATGCATCTACCACCTCACATACGGACTCAACTTCCAGCGGCTTACTATGCGATAATTTTATCCGTTCTTCACGGGGCGTGTCCGATCCATCCACATAACCATGCCTATCTACCGCTAAGTGTAAATGAAAACTCAATGAAGGCCTAACTGTTCAGTTCCAGTTACTTGTAGGGTCGTTAAAAGTTTGAAATTTAAAAAAAAATCTATATGCTGTCTGCCTGGTATCGTGTTTTGCTGAATCCTTTGGCTTCAAGTTTTCTTGGTAGATATAATTTTATTACACACACACACACACACGCACACACACTCACACGCACGCACGCACACACATATATATGCCTAATTAATAATATTTAAGACAGTAATTTGAAAGACTAATTTTATTGGTAAAATCAATAGGAACCACTTGTTCAGGCAACATGGCGCATAGAGCCTAGTTGCTAATCTAATAGTTTTGAGCATCGGGTCAAATAAAGTTCGTTGCAAATTTTTCTTGGAAGGACAATGCTACAGAATGCTACAGAATAACATCCAGAAAGAAAAGAAGACATACGTCGTAGTTAAGCGAACACGACAAATCAAAAGTGGTGTGTTACCTTTTTGTTATTTAAAAAAAGTCTGGGTTGAAAGTGAAATAAAGCATAAATTTTATTTTGGTCTTTCCGTAATTTAAATGTGTAATGTATTACAAAATAAACAATAACAATTATAAAATATAATAAAATAATAAAACGTTTTAGTATGCATCTTTAAAAAATTGTTCAACATTATGTTGAACAATCTTATAACTAGGAGAAATGCATTTATATATCTATATACTTAAATACATACATATATACATACATACACAGGCTACACGCCTACAGGCGCACATGCACTCATGCACGCATACATGCATATAAATTATATTATATATATATATATATATATATATATATATATATATATATATATATATATATATATATATATATATTTAGAGAGAGAGAGAGAGAGAAAGATGCACACACACACATAAAGTTTAAAGTGAACATATACCAATTGAAGATAATAAGCTAGCTAATAAGAAAAGTAGGTATATATATATATATATATATATATATATATATATATATATATATATATATATATATATATATATATATATATATATATGAAAATTAACTCCTTGCTAAATACAATTTAAGTTTAAAAAAAAATAATACTAGGTTTTTAACAAAGTCAATAGGAGTACAATATACGATCTACAAATTATATCTTTGTTTTAACGCTTTTATAAAAAAAAATATTAAAAGTGTATATGCTAATTACTTTTTATCCTTATAATAAGTATTAACTCAATTAGTAATAATCCGAGCCTTTTGAATCATCGTCTGAATCATACACAAAGTCACTGTCGTAGATCCCATATAGGAAGTAGTCATCACCATAGCTACTGTACTCGTATGCGCGTTTATTTATACTTTTGTAAAGCAAACGTATCATTTCTTGTCGGTCATGCATCGATATTTCTTTCACACTTTCCTTTTTTATAATTTCTGTGGCTGCCGCTCTTTTAAATAACAATAATTCATGCAATGCAGTTGGAATTGGGAGTTTTATCACCCGTTCTTTTCTCCCAGGCCCAGCACCTACTGCAGACGATACGACAACAAAACTGAGTTTCTGTAGAGACATGGGCTGGGATGAGTACTCGTCCAAAAATTCTAAACACTCGCTATAATTTTTAACAGCCATACATGTTCTAAACTGTTTATTTTTGGCGAGACTAAATACGTCGGCCTGGGTTAGAAACCAAATTTCATTTAAATATCGAGCCAATCGTGCCGATCCGCAAATCAATGATACCACAAGTGGAGAAGCAGTTTGAACTATAGATTTGAATTCATAAAAACCCAAATCAACTGCTTTAACCTCTTTTGGTCCAAGACCTAATGATATTAATATTTGTAAACAGCTGAACTCCTTGCTGATGATTATTTCATGGATAAGACATGGATCCAAACTTGAATCATCTGCTCCTTTTTCTATCAGATAAAGTGTTGCTTTATTAAATCGCTGATCAAAGTCCAAGCTTATAAGTATTGAGAGAGCAGTTTCGTTTTTCAGTTCATTTACTATATTGACATTTGCACCAGAGTCATGCAATGTGTTTATAATTTCGAAGTTTGTCTGTTTAGCAGCTAACATCAGAGCTGTATACCCTTCGTGGTTTTGATGGTTTACAAAAGCCTTAGCTGATACTAAAATTTTTATAGCCTCAATCGGATCATTAAAAAAGGGAGAGCATGCATACAATAAAGGCGTATTGCCTTTATTATCCATTCGATTTACATCAGCATTATTTTCTATCAAAAAATCAATCATGTCCTTGTGTCCCCGCGGTAAAGAGTAGAATAACGGTGTCATACCCATGTTATTTTGTAAATTTATATCCGACTTAAACTCCAACAGAATTTTGGCATTATCGGTAGATTCACAAACTGCAGCATAATGTAAAGCACTTTCTCCTTTGTTGTTCTGTTGATTGACATCAGCCCCAGCTTGCAAAAGGGCTCGTAAGACGTCTTGCGTATCTGATATTTTTGAAGCTTTCATTAATGGTGTTTTGCCATTATGGTCCTTGAAATTTACATTCGCTCCATACTTTATAAGTAGTTTAACTCTCTCAGTAAAGCTGTCTTTTGTCCTTCCTCTTTTAAGTTCAGTTTCAGTTAAAATACAATTTAGAACGGAATCCGCGATGTTGAGCTTCATTGTCAGATTGACGTCAGCACCAAGATTGATTAAGACTTCCATAACAGTTGAATCAATTGCCGATAATAGTGGTGTGTAGGTGTAGATATCACCATTAACACTTACACCTTCCTGCACTAACAATCTGATCATGTCCTTATGTCCCAATTCTGCTGCAAGATCTAACAACTTAGTTCCTATTTGTCGTATATTAGAACTAACACAATCTTGAAAGTGCTCTTTCAAAAACAAAAAGGAATCAATTTTATTCAATCTTACAATAAATCTAAGAACCGCATCAGGATTAATCATCGCCCCATGTTCAACGAGCAGCTTCGCACAAACTAATTGATCATGCTCAATCGCCACTTGCAGTGCTGAATCAAGATCATATTTTACCTTCGCTCCTAATTCAATTAGGAGGTTTATAATATCACCACGTCCATACTCTGCGGCTAAAGCTAATGGGGCTTTATAATTAAAATAATACGAACACTGCTTTACCTCAGCTCCATTGAGACACAACAATTTAATTAGATCAGCGCTTCCTAAGGTGACAGCTGTTGCTAAAGGGCATTCTTCTCGAGTATTGTTTGCAGAGTTTAGTTGAGCTCCAGCTTTGATTAGTATCTTAATTACATTCAAATCTTCATCACAAACTTCTTTTCCGCTCACTAGTATTGAGTTTAGAAATTCTGAAACAATGTTATGGTCTTTTCCTTGTTTGTCTTCAAAGTCAAATACTCCATTAACTAAGAGCAGCTGAATAAGGTAGATGTCTCTTTTTAAAACTGCAGTTAGTAAAGCTGTTTCACCATTATGTGAATTTTGATCCAAAACATCTAACAGCGAACATAATCCTAAATTTTCAGAAACTATCGAAGCAACACCAGCACTTGAAGTAGGCTGCATTTTAAATACTATTCTAATTAGTTGTAAGTTTAGGACTTCAACTGCTTTCATCAAAGCATCATATTTCTTTTTGTTTCTATGAGAGATATTTAAATCTTTTTTGTCAAGAAGTTTCATAACAAGATGAGAAGACCCGGATGTTGTGATCGAAAGTAAAAGTGCCGTGTCACCATCTTTGTTGTAACTGTTGATATCAGCGCCTTTATCAACCAGTAACAGAGCTATG